TGGCCAATTAACTGTACAGCGCAGGGCGGAGACTTGCAGGGCCTGTTTGGCTCTGTCCAACATATCTTGAGTTGGACAACGTCATTAGGAATGATCCTGCCTTGATGCCCGAAAAGATAGTCACCTACCAGGCTAATGCAATTTCGTATACTATTTTGTAAGGGGACAGAATAGTTCACACGAACACATTTTGTGCAAACCACCATCTGATACGCGGTCTTGACAAAGAAACTCAGAAAAGCTGAAGGTGTGTACAAGATAATGGCGGAACAAGATTAAAAGGCGCCGCAAGTTTCATGCATGATGTACTATCGCACAGGAAACATGAATGGATCAGCTCTGCAGTAGCTCTACACATCTCTTCTACTGTGTGCTCGGGACGCACCTCGTTGCTTCCACTTCCAGCGATTTGAACAGTTCTACTGCTGGCTTCCGTTTCTATCTGAACACTGGATTGCTCATCTTTGAGATTTTATATGTGCATACTTCAAAAGAAAGGGTGTTGCAGTAGATCCTGTGACTTATTTTCACGACTGTGATGTCGCAGTAAGTTTTTAATTCTTCCTACTATCAAACCAAAGCTTTAACCACATAATATATTTTCCTGTAACAGTGGTGTTGAAACTGATCCAAGCTTGTTCCTGTGTATTGCTCTGCTTGTCGCCAACCCTCCTATGATTGAGCTTCATTTAAGTGGTTGGAAACGAAGTGAAGTGTGGAAATATTAAATTGGATGGGAGATATTTGTTTCAAAGTCGTGATACAAGAGCAGGACTTATGGTTAATTTCCGTTGCCAGGTAGAACTCTTTCTGAACCTCCAATCATGTCTACAACTGTTGCTAAGTTGCTAGGCAAGTATACCTTTTGATTTGAACAGCGATTTTACTACATAACTGGATGTTGTAAAACTATGGATGTGGGTCGTTCCACTTGGGTGAGCTATTAGTCTCCAACATTTGACACCTCCTAACCTTTTTGTGTAAAATTATTAATGAAACTGTGGTCTGCAGAAATAGCTCGGATATCTTTTCATGATCTTTTTAAACTGTTTCTTTGCAGTGTTGTTAATTGCAACGTAAGGGTGATGTCAGGGTTAGTAGGGGCTTTGTCATGGTGTGGGTGCAAGCCTAGTAGTGCATCCCACACTAACACAATGCTAAATACCAAAATAAAAAGGATGCCTAATCAAATGTAAAAGCGTTTTCTTTTTGGATGTTTCGATTTTGGGGCGATGATATCAAAAATTATTATGTCATAGAACATCTTTTTTAAAAACACGTCGCCTATTGTTTTGTTTTGTTTTGTTTTTGTTTTTGTTTTTTTGTTTTTTTTGTTATTATTTTGTTTAATTTATTAAATCTTTGTAATTAATTTACAACGCCAAAATCTGTCATACAAAACTTACAAGTATTGAATATTTTTTAGAATGCATATTTTTCAGTTTATTAACTGAAAATTCATTTATAATTTATGAGCTAATCAAATCACTTTTAAAATAAACGACTGTTATTAATAATTACGATCACAATTTTTAAACGCAAATCAAACACGAATTATTATATTCTGAAAAAATTGTATTTAATTGAAAAAAATGAGTTGCAATTTTTTTTAAAAAAAATATGACAATACAATCATTACATGCACACAAATAATTTAGTTAATAGAATTTACTTAGTATCTTGAATGTATTTTTTATGAATTTTTGTGAATCCTGTTGCAATGATAATGATTATACTAATAAATATTCTACAAAAGTTTTAATCTAAAATTTTGTGTGATTGGAGAAAGATCTCAAAAAAAATTTTGAAGCTTATACATAATCATAACTTTAAATGTACTCAAAATTATTTTACACATCAATCTACAAATAGGCCAAGAATTTATGATAGTTTAAAATAAAAAAATCTTGTAAAAATAAAGAGAATATTTTATTGGCCAAGATTTGATTAATTACTAAGATATTTAACTAACATCCCTAAGAAAAGAAAGAAAGAAAGAAATTCTTTAAATACATTATGCAATTTTTATGAAAAGTTTTGCATTTTGTTTTATTTATATACTTCAATTAGCATCGTGATCATATATACTTCTTAACTAAATTTCAGAAACGTTTTTTTTTTATATTGTTGAAAAACATACTATGAAACTTAATAATTTAATATTTTTGGTTTTTCTGTTTTAATTATTGACTTTTCTTTGGAATACATCTCACTGTTTGTTTGTTTGTTTGTTTGTTTGTTTGTTATTTTTTATTTGTTATTTTTTTTTTAATCTTTTAATTTTAACAACTTAAAATCAGAGTTAAAAACGTAAATATACAACTTAAAGTAATATAAAAACAGAAGTCATAAAAAAATATTTGAAAAAGAATTATGTGTAAGAATGTACAAATTTTAAAATAATTCTTGAACATAAGTTGATATTCGACTAGTCAATCATTTTATTAATAATAAATAAATATTTCTGAGAATTATAGAATAGGCAAAGTAATAATAGATACTTCAAAACATTTTACAATTATCAATTGCCTTTCATGCACAACAATCTTGCATAAAAATTAGTTTATATTTTATTTAAGAATATATGTTGTTTTGAAATAATTAAAAAAAATCTACAATTAATATGTATTTGTGTAGAGCATCTAAAGTTCTACTGATATAGAAGAATTTGTAATCTTGGCCCAAACTCTAATTAATAGTCAAGAATATTGAATTAACATAGTATATAAATTTGCTTCAGTAGACAAAATCTCAAAAAAAAAATATAAAAAATAAAAAATTACACTCTTGTAAAGAATTTACTTTAAAAACTTAAAATAAAATACACTACATTATATTCAAGATCAGGATTCCATCTAAATTTTTTATACTTGTACACCATTTTACAATAATTGACGTAACCAGAAAACAGAAAAATGTAATAATAACTAAATTTTGATTTTTTAAATACCTCATATAAGACTGATTCAAGTAATGATATATATATATATATATATACATACATATGTCCGTAAAATATCCTATAATAGAATATATAACAGCAAAGTTTATGTATACGGACAAATAATAAGGAATTCTTGAAAATTTAAATAAACAAATAAATAACTATTACTATATATACATATATATATATACATATATATATATATATATATATATATCTTAAAAATTAACTATAATAATTTTGTAATTTAAAGATATATTTATATTTACTTGAATTATTTGTTAAATTTATTAGTGAAAATTTTAAAAACTAACAAGATAAAAGAAGCACATAAATAATACAAATAGTGATTATAATAATACTCATTACACACTTTGGTCTTTAAAAGAATTATGACAAGCAATATATAAAAAATGAATTATTTCTTCAGAAGCCGAAATATGTTTGACTCTAGATAAGAATATGTTGAATATATAAAAAGTTATTTAATCCACAAAGAGTTTTAGTGAGGAAAATGAAATAATTTTTTTATTAATATGATATATATACATATATATATATATATATATATATATATACACACACACACATTCATTGATAGAAGAAATTAGATTAAATTAAAATTTATAATTAAATAATGTTCCTTTGATTTCTAGTATGATTTCAAGATTATTTCCTATTAAAAAAATATTCTTTAAAAAATATATATTTCATCAAATATCTATAAGATATATACACATTCTAATTAAAATATAAGCCACTTACAAGTAACATAATAAGTGATGTATAATAATAAGGTTTTAAAAATGACAAACAAAGGTTTATTATGGTAAAAAAATTTATGCACGATTTTTTTATTTAAGTACATAATAATACAAAACTACTTCTTTTGTGATAAAACATGTGAGGTTGAACTAATTTGTAAAACATGTTGTAGAATAAGAGACATGGTAGTGAGTATACTTACAAAAACATTGCAAAAAATAAACAAAAACAGAATGCAAAAAATAAACAAAAACAGAATGCTAAAAATCATTCAAGAATAAAACTATTTTTGATGTATAAATTAAAAGCATTTAAAAATAAAATAATATTGGGGACATTGGTTTTGTGGTGATTTTAAAAAAAACATAATGTTTTTTTTTGGTTTGAATCTTAATTTATTAAATATTTAAAAATATTTCGTCATAAGATTGTTTTTAAATGAAGACATTGATAGCAAGTTATAACAAGAATTAAAATTGGAAGTAGATAGGATTTTTTTGGTTGTTACAATGAATTTTTGAACTTGAGGTTAAACAAGATTATGAAGACGTAAAAGAACAGAAGCATGGAATTGAATATATATTCTAATCCAAATATTATTTTGCATCGTATTATATCTATTATGTTTTTTTATTTTTTTATTAGTAGATTTAAAAATTAATAAATCTAATCATAAAAAAATTAGTATTATTGATGTATATTATAGATTTGGAACACAATTATATAAATTTTAAAAATCAAATATTAATATTTCATTTTTTTACTTTAAAATTTAAAAAAAATTTGGAATAATTTATTTTATATAATAAAATAAAGATAAATTAGTAAAGATTATCAATAAAAGAAGATTATACCATTAAAATTTAACCTCGTTTATTAATAAAAATTAAGTAATTATGCATCTTAAAACTTTACATTCTTGGTTAATATATATTTAATATAAAATTTTACAAAAAAAATATTTTAAATATAAGACTGTTTTAAAAAAAATCTTTTTTTGCTATTTTAAATTAATATTAGATATTTTAAATTAATATTAGATATTTTAAATTAATTCTATATATAGAAGATATAATATAATAAAATAAATTTTAATGCATATAATCAAGATTCTAGTATATTTATTAAAATTTGTGTGTATACTAGAAGATTTACTAAATTTATTAAAATCCATTAAAAATCCAAGTTTATTACTATTTCCATTTAAGATTAAGTGTATAAATTTAAACATATATATATATATATATATATATACCACAAAATCCTAAAATCTTTCTTAACATTTCTAAATTGAATTATGTTTTTATCATTCATATAATTTCACAAAGGTTCAAACTAGAAACACACTTTAAATTGCTATGCACATACCTATTATGTCTACACACATTCAAGGCTTCTCATTGGCTAATCCAAATCTCTTATTCCTTCTCCCCACGAAGGTCCCTAACCTCTTCCATCTCCTTTGTCTCAAGAGGGGTCCCAATCTCCATGTTCTTCTCTTGTCTATGGATAGATCCTAGACTTTTCTTTCCTTCTTCCTAGCAGATTTCAATCCTTTCTTCTCTTATTCCATGGCTGGGACAAAGAAGAAGAGATATGGATTAGCCAATTAGGAATCTCCAATGTGTTTATAGACATAATAGATGTGCATATAGCAATTTGAGGTGTGCTTATAGCATGAGCCTTTTATAAAATCTCATTTCAATTACTCTTTTCTATATGATTCTCAAAAAGACCAATTTAACTTTTTTAATTATTAAATTTGAACTTTGATATTCTTAAGTCTTTTTGCACAATGATTGTAATGTGTATTATAGTGACTTGGCTATGAACTTATTATTTTTGTAGGTAAATTTTCATTATTTTAAATTTTGATTTTATGTGTTTTAATAATAACACTAACTAAGTGAAACAATATTTTGCCCAACAATCCTAATTTAATAAACCCTTGAGAAGTGATTTATCAAATAACTATGTAACAACATTCATGAGATGTTTAATCAAGCTACCACTAATATGTCACGATGATAAAAAGAAAATCACATATCCAAACAATTGCAATCTTGTGCTCAATCCTGCAACACTATTACGAAATGGAGAGGACAGGCAAAGGTAGAATCCATACTTTTTGAAGTACCTCAACACATGTTTCACACTCACGTAACGAATCCCAGAATTGCCCCTGACCTGACACCCTCAAGTTAGTTAATAGATGAGAATGAAGAGATGTGAAGAGAAATCCCAATGCATTTTCTACAGGGTGGAAGGGCTCTCACACTGCCTGCATGTGATCATGTCTGCTACAATTAATCTGAAAAAAAGTCTATTAAAAGTTTAATGTCCCCTACAACTTCAAAGCTCATGTAAATTATCGGCCACCATTCAGAACCAGCAGCTCCCGTTTAGCCCTAATGAGCAGTACAAACTGCAGCACTGAATCTGTCGAATGCAACACTGGCGTTTATCAGATAAGTATACCTTGACCACGTCTTGATGTGTCCCTCTTCCTGAGCAGAATCAGAAAACAATCCCAACCATCGTTTCTTCAAGTGCTTTTTGTTGAGAGATACTTCGTTTTTGCAGGCATGACAACCGTTCTGTCAGTCACGGCCACCAGTGCTCCTGGCGAAATCCTGGGAACATGTTTTGTTATCCACCAAGATGATGAAGCAGGTCTGATGTGCAAGACAAAAAAAACTGCAGCTGCACAGATAATGGTTAAGCAATGTGTTCAGCGATATTCCAAATGATACAGAAGCATGTTACAGTTGTAGTCACTACTGCAGATTTCTGTGCTCCTTGCTTATTGTAACAGAAATAAAATTCCTTGATAAGAATCTCCAGGCGTGTTTTCCTCACAATCTACCGCTTCTGCAGACTGCTACTCTTATTCTACAGTTTTCACCACCAAATACGATGTGGTTTCATGTTTGATGACCCACCAAGCTTGTAGTCGGAATGCACCATATTCCAAGGTGCTGCCCAGTGCTCCTGGAACATGTCCAAAGGCGTTCAAGCACCGAGTTGCTGCGTTAAGATCATCCACCTGGAGTGACAAGATGATTTCGTTCAGTTGTCGGAGATTGCAGTTTCTATCGCTCTTTTACCCTGAAATACACACAGATTCAACTACTTTACATGAAAATCGAAACGTTAGCTTTTTGCAGGATGTGTTAGTTACCTCATCACATACGCCTACACCAAACTACACCGCTATGCACATACCTGACAGCTCCAGCTACCAATGCTCGTTGCATCCACGAAGAACTGTTACAAAGAACAGGAGTGACGAGACACATAAAGTTGGAACTGAATTAGGATCGACTGACAAGAACTGAGTCAAGGAGAACGTATGTTGTGAGTCAGCCGCAGAGTGTTCACCGTAACAAACAGACAGAGGTCGGATATGGAACAGCACATTCCCACAGGTGTCGGATAGTAGCTGTGAAAAATACAACCCATAGTGGCAATGTCGCAAATCAGTGTAATATGTGGTGATTTTTGTGATGCTACATAGATGTGCCCAATGTGAACTTACGCACCAAAACTTCATCTCAAATGTGACCCTAAAGCTATATATATACAAAAGACCACCGCTAGCAGGTAATTGGCCACAACATGCTACAACCAACACCATGAAAATGAAATCAGGGCACAACCCACAAAACACAGCTCCCTGTCCACTAATTCAAGAGCCACGTACACAACCAAGTGGGAGCCCAATTCCAGATTCTACATGTCCGTGAACCCACTTACAATTCATGAACATTCATAATGCAATATCCTAGAAGCTGAAACCTTAAACACTCGTAATTAAACACACACACGCGCGCACACACACAACAAGAATTTCAACACTTTGCAGAACTGACAAACACGAGAGAGGCGATCCAACTGAAGTCGGCAACGCTGGCTTCGAATGAGTTGGCGGCGCAGCGATAGAATACCAAATTGAATGCCGCACGAAAATTTGAGCAGCTGGGTGCCGATCGAAGTCGTCGAAGCGCATTTGCTATTGCGTGATTGCTGTGCTGATGCTCCTGATTGTCGCCCCCGCGTTGATTGATGTTGCATTTCCTTGGCCGATCCAACAGTGTGCCTGGCCAAGGTGGGTTTATATAGTCCGTTTCGGTTTGTTGGGCGGGCGATCAGCTCAAAAATCGTCTGTGGATGGACGAAACGTCGGTATGGACTTCGAAAGGTTATTGATGTTAGGAAAATCGTTCGTTTCAGAAGTTGGGTTTATGGGGCCTTTGTTTTTATTGATAATTGTGATGATAAGAATATTACAAAAAAAAATTAAAATAAAGACATGAAAAAATAAAAATATTTAATCAAAAATATGAAAATAAAATATCATTACTTAAGGATTTAGATTAATTTTTAAAAATTAAGTATAAAATATTTAAAAAGTTAAAATAAATTAAGTTATTGTAGATTTTTTTTACAATCTCATTTCATTAAAAGAAATTATGATATTTATTAATTTTTAATTATATATCTATGTATATATATATATATATATATATATGAACACACAAATATTTTATCTTAAATCTGTAATTAAATTTATTTTATAATAATTATGAGTTAAAGCATTACAAATGTATGAAACAATGTTAATCAAATTTTTTGCATCAAAACCTGCATCACAATATTCAAAAAAAATAACTCAAATATTTATAATATTTAGCATTAAATAACAAGCACAATATCAAATTGTAACACTTCACGATTAATTTACTTATCTGCAAGTATAATTCCTAAATTGATTATTAATGATAGTTGATATTTAGATTTATTGTAGTAACTTATCTATTCAACAAATAATTTAAATATTTTTAATGGTCTTTAAATTATGTTTTTATATTATTTTTCTTTATAGGATAGTATCACAAAACAATAATGGGGCATAGAAATATAACTTGTTTATTAAAAATAAATAAAAAATAAATAAATAAACGAAAACAAAAACTATTCAAATAGTAATGTAAAAATAATTGTCATTGATGTGTAGAATTGTTTTTCAACAAGCTAATTTTGTTTTGAAATTGAAAATTGATCATACATAAACAATACTTTTTATTTAGAAAGCTGAATGATTTAATTTTTAACTTTCTATTGCACTTTAAAACCCCTATATTTAGATTTTAAAAATAAAAAACTCCAAAATAATTAGTATCTTTGAATTGCAATTTATTTAAAAAATTGTGACTTTTAAAATATTGCATTCTATTATTTTTGCTTCTTCATTTATGAAATAAAATATATGTGAAAGTATTATTTTTTGTTTTTGATTTTTAGTAAACTTTGATTTGGTTTTATTTTAATTTTTAATTTTTTGATGATTTCTTATTTATTCTTGCTATAGATTCTAAAGAAACAAATTTTACAAGTAATAGTCAACTAGAAATGATATTTGTATTATATCATAACTTGAAATTATAATTTTTTACCATCACTAATTCTAATGTCACAACCAAAATATTAAAAAAGAAAAAAATATAATAATCTATTACAATAAAAATCGTTTAAAAACAAACTGTATTAAGCTTTTTTGAATAATAAGTTTTAAAATATAATTGTAAATTCTAATTTCAACAAGTGACTAATAAATATAGTAATTTTAAATTTTTATAATTGAGTAATTTAAACATATATGTGATTATAGAAGTTTAAGCTTAATAAAGAAGGATTCTAAGTGCTTTTGAAGCATAGAAAGATCGGATGGTGGTGTGGTGATTTGAAGGAGTATAAAGATGTATGAGTGAATATTAAAGTAAAACTAAAAGTAGAATATGTCAAAATTCTAAATCATTAGTCTAAAAAAATATTAAATTTTAATAATTCTATAGTTTTGATGATCATAAATCTTGGTATGTTAAGATTTGATAATTATTTTGAACACAAAAATTAGTTTCTTGCATTCTATGACTTTTCTGTCAAAATTCATAAATATAGATCATAACAAATCAACATAAGTACAATGCTAGTGTAAATTTTATACATTCAGAGTGTTGGCATTTCTAAAGAAAAATGTATAAAGGATATAAGAGAAGAATTAAGTAACTTACTTGGAAAAAGCCCACCTGTCACGGCCATAATCATGTAAGCTAATAATTACATATAGAAATAGGTAGAAGTAAGTAAAAGTAGATAAAAGTAAGTTAATTGTATAATATTTAATATAGAAGCTTTCTAGAAACTTCCTAGACGCTGCTTTGACTTCATAGGTGTCTTTAATTGACTTTTTGGATTAGAAACGTGGTCAACAAGTTGGCCATGTGCCACACATGTTGTTAGCTTGAAGATCAAGCTAACTATGTGGCCCACACGTAGAAAAACTTGCCTTGTAAGTCAAGGCATGTGTCCTACAAAGTCAACACATATTGGAGGTCCTATAGAACGTCGCCACGTAGCCCCTAGTTAGATAGTATATATAGAGACAAGAGTGAAGGCTTCTTCACTCTTGTCAACTCCTTTCTTGCTTCTAGTCCAAGTTCAAGAGTCTTTAGTTTCTTGTCTTGTGGCAATAGCCATTCCAGTTTCCTTTTAATATACCTACTTGTTTATATTTTGACTTATTATATCGAGATAGCCTTTTGGTGTATATTTTTCCTCATCGAGTCTTTGTCCTTGACAGATTGACAAGAGTACACTTACAATATCAGAGCTTTGATTTTTCTTGAGTAAGAGTGGATTACCCCTTTCTCTTGACAAGACATAAGCGTATTAGAAGTTTGCGGATTACCCACTTCTAAACTGATATTGTTCTTAGTATCTTCTTTGTTATCAAGTCTTTCTTTTCTTTTGTCTTGAGCAATATCAAACAAATTTTTCTTCTTAGTGTCATTATGGCAGAGCTTGTTGAAATGAAGAGTGCAATGGCACAAATGCAAGAGCAAATGAGGGAGTTAATGCTTGCGATGCATCAACTCAATTCACCAACACAGGAAAGAACAAGAATAACAGAAAGTGGAGATATAGAGATGATCGGAGCTGCTTCAACATCTACAACAAATCACGTTCCTTCTCCAATTGTACAACACCCTATAAGCACTAGAGAACCAAGAATTGCCTTACCTGAGAAATTTGATGGTACGAGATCAAAGTTTCGAGGGTTCATCAATCAAGTACAATTGGCAATTGAACTTCAACCACAAAGCTATCCAACTCCAGGATCACAAGTCAGGTTTATTGGCACTCTACTTTCTGGTTCAGCATTATCGTGGTTTTCGTCTTTTCTTGAACAACGAAATCCAATATTGGACAATTTGGAAGCTTTTTTGGTGGAGTTTCGATCTATGTATGGTGAACACGATGCAACTCGTGTTGCAACAAATAAGATCCGAATTCTGCGACAAGGAAATCGCTCAGTAACAGTATATGCTTCACAATTTCGACAACTTGCAATTGACATCAAGTGGGATCATGCTGCACTCATCAGTCAATTTCTTTATGGATTGCAATACGAAGTAAAGAAATTGATGCTCAACTTACCTGATCCTCAAACTTTGAGTCAAGCAATCGATTTTGCGGTAAAATGTGATAATCGACTTTTTGAATTTCGATCTGAGAATCATTCACGGGAACCTCAACGTTATTACTCAATGGCAACATCAACATCTTTGCCAAACGTACATTCGGAAGTAGAAGACATGCAAATTGACGCGGTACGTTTTAAACCTCTAACTGAGCAAGAAAAGATTCGTCGTCGTCAAGAAGGATTATGTTTATATTGCGGAGAACCTAAGCACACTGCTCAACATTGTCCAAAGAAACGACGCAACTATAAAATGAGGGGTACGACGGTCAAAGAAGACAATATGTCAGAAAACGGATTCGTCCAGCTACAATAGGGACCGTGCAGCTGGAACCTTGTACAATTCCTAATGAAGGTCCTATCCTCTCCTCAGAACCCTCTCCTTGTTTTATAATAGACTTATATTTAGGACCTAAGAATTACAAAGCCTCTGCTTTATTAGATTCGGGAGCCTCAGCATGTTTTTTAGATGAACAATTTGTTAAAAGTCGTAAAATACCCTATGTACAGAAACCTAAACCAGTACATGTAGAAGTCATAGATGGTCGTCCCTTGTCTTCTGGAGATGTCACTCATGAAACTCATCCTATAAAAGTAACAATAGACGGTCATGATAGCTACATAGCTTTTAACATAATTAAATCCCCGTCCAATCCAGTTATTTTAGGTTTATCCTGGCTAGAAAAATATAATCCTCGAATAGATTGGAATTCGCGTAAACTTGACTTTTCCAAAAGCGTTATTAATAGTTCTACGAACCAAGTAAAAAATTATAAGTCTAGTACAGTAAAACCCATACTGATAGGTGCAAAAGCATTTATATACGCAGCAAAAGAAGGATCAACTTTTGCTATTTATGCTGCACCTATTTCTGTAAACGTAAAGACTTCAAGTGGCATTCCAAGTCAATATCAGGAGTATCAAGACGTTTTTGAGAAAAAGAATGCAGATATTCTTCCTGAGCATCGTCCATATGATTGTTCAATCGACCTCAAGGAAGGAACTCAGCCACCATTTGGACCAATTTACAGTTTATCGCAAGATGAGATGGCTGAACTCAAGACATATATTGACGAGAATTTAGCGAAGAATTTCATACGCCATTCAAAATCTCCAGCAGGAGCTCCAATTCTATTCGTAAAGAAAAAAGATGGATCTTTACGAATGTGTGTTGATTATCGAGGATTCAAAAAGATCACAATCAAGAACAGGTATCCATTATCTTTGATATCAGGACTCCTTGACCAGTTGAATCAAGCTAAGATCTATACAAAAATAGATCTAAGAGGAGCATATAATCTAGTACGGATCAAAGAAGGAGATGAATGCAAGACTGCGTTTCGAACCAGGTATGGACATTTCGAATATAATGTCATGCCCTTTGGACTCACGAATGCACCAACTGCTTTTCAACATCTCATGAATGATGTATTTCGTGAATTCTTAGATAATTTTGTCGTCTGCTATCTAGACGATATCCTGATCTATTCCAAGAACGTCGAAGAACATGAAATACATGTTCGTCAAGTATTACAAAAACTTAGAGATGC